AACAGGAGGTTGGGCTTCTGGAACAGTTGTTGACACAGAGGACATAGTTTGGTCTGGGGGATCCTGGCCTCGGCTCATCCTTTAGTCTTGATATTTACATAGGTCATTCCTAATAGCTCAAGATAAGGGGTTCGGTTAATTCTGTGGATATTTATTGAGCCTCTGCTGAGTCCTGGGCACTTTGCTGGAGCCTTGGGAATCAAAGGTGACAGCCGTGATGCAGCCCCTGCTCTGCGAGACCTGGAGGGGGAGTGACCCTCTAGAGGTGGCCCCATTCCAGGTTGATGAGTATCTTTATTGCTGGTGTACTGGCAGCAGGTAGTACGCAGTGGTGGCCCTGTGGGTCACTTAGAGCCCACTCGGCTGAGCTTGCTTGGGCCCAGCTGCTCTGTTCTGAGGTCGCACCAGGCGTTGGTCATTTCCGCTGTGTTGCTTCTCCACTTGACCTTTCAGGATGGTTACTTCTACAGGAAGTATTCGAAGTTAAACAGCAGTCCTAGCCTCTTGGCAAGGGAGCAATGAGGTGTGTTTGTGCTCTTCATGTTCTCGTGTCCCCACTCTGGCTACAGAGGGGACTGAAGCCATCCTCATCCTTTCTTAAGTAGACAGCAGCTTCATGGAAAACTTGCACTGCCACTTTTATGACTGTGTTTTGTTCTTGTTTTTCTTGTGGGGAAGAGGGGTTTACAATTAGCCAGCACCTGCACAATTGTGGTGCATGGAAGGAGGCCTTCTCCGGTCAGCCTTGCCCTGGATTCTCACCAGATGGAGAGAGAGATGGGTGCCATGGGGGGGCAAGGCTCTGCAGGAGCATCTGCTAACTCAGAGACAATATGGCGTGTAAGACAGCTGGATGGAGGAGACAAAGGGGACGCAGCTGCCTGCTCTTAGAGCCTCACCTTGAACAAGACACTCCTGGTTCTCTGGGAAGGCTTGGCTGGACTTGGTGATGGGGGTGCCTGGGCTTGATCTGCCCAACATGGAGCCTGAATGTCTCAGGTGAGCCCCAGCACACTGGCAGCCCTGGAGCGAGACACCTGAGCTCTCTGGCGCCTCAGGCAGCCATGCCAGTGCACAGTGGTGTATTACCTGCAGAGGGGCTGCTGCTCCCAGGGGAGCGAGTGGGGGCAGAGAAGGGAAAGCTCTTCCCTGGGCGCTGCTTTGAGAGAGCCTGAGATGTAAGCACAGGTGAAGGATCCCTCTACGAAGGCTCACCTGTCGTGCTGACATTTGCATATGGGATGCATGCAGTTGTCACCTGCGGACCAGGCAGGGCTGGAACATAAAGAAGGAGAGTACACGCAGCCGTCCATAACTGCTGCGGGGACTTCCAGGAGGCCATGGTGGAGCGAGGGCCTAGACGGTATCCACTCCCTCTCCTGAGGACTCAAGCCCTGCGGTCTTGCTAGGCAGGCACAGAGCCTCAGCTGCACAAGGGAGCATTCGGAGCCACGGGGTGTCTCCTGTAGGAGGCGCGGCGGAGTTTGTGACAGGCGGCAGGGCAGGGCCATTGTGCTTCCGGTTCTGACGCCAGGGAGTAGCAGGTGTCTCTCCCGCACTCTTGCACCGCCGAAGGAGCCCTGCTGATCTCCGCGAGCCCACTGAGGCGCTGAGCCCCAAGTTCCTACTCGGCTTGTTGCACATTTGCGTAGGGAGGGGTGCTACACTTGCGCAGTGAGCGAGGGCTCGCTAGAAAGTGGGCTCCATGTGGACGGAACCTTTCTGTCTTTGGCCCCTAATTCCTCTTACAATGCGTGGAACATAACAGGTGCAACGTGAACCACTGAGTGACTGTTCAGCGCAGACACCGGCTGGATTGGCCGTGTTGCTGGCGGTGCTTCTCCAATCCCTGTGACGGATGGCAAGCCCTTGCTGGGCGCTCTCTCTCCGCCTTTGGCATAGGTAGTTCATTTACTTGTCTATTTTCTCTCATTTTATTGAGAAGGGCCCCGGGTGGATGGCATTCAGTGACCAGCTTAGGGCTGCGTGTCTGAAGATGGGGGTGGCGCTGGAACAGCTCGCGGTCCCTTCTTGTCGGGCAGAGGTCCGATCCAGACCAGCGGTGTGCGTCTATCTGCCGATGAGGAGGCCTTGGCCGGAGCTGGGTTTGTTTGTCTCTGGGTGCTCTGGGGACAGGCTGGGCAGCCCCCGGGCTGTTTACAGCTCCCGGGGACAGAAAGTGTTTATTTTAACAGAAGCAAGTCTGCGTTTCACCCCTGGTCCTACCGGCTCCTCTTCTGTCTTGGCTGCCACAGTCTGGTGTTTGTGTTGCTGGGCCCCAGTGACCTTCACACACACAGAGAGGCAGAAATGGTCAGAGCAAGAAGAGATTGTGCAAGGGAAAAAAATAATACAGATTGGATAGATTTATAGTTTGTCTGTCTGCCAAAGGAAAAAGAACTTACAAAAGCATACGTCTAAATTAGGGTCAGAGAAAATAGAAATCCAGGTTAGGGTCATAAAGTAGAGGCAGGAATTAGACTAACAATGCCGCAAGAACTTCTGCACGGAGCTGGCACTGCGCTTACGTGCAGCCGAACCAGCGAAAGAAACCCGATCAGCTCTCCTCGTGCCACGTCTGCGGCACCGAGAGCCTAGAGGCGCGGGAATTGGCCGAGAGCGTGGACGCAGCGGCAGTGGCAGGGCGGGCCGGCCCCGTGCTGCCAGAGCGCACCATCGAGGAGAAGCGGCGCACACCTGCACCTGCGGATGCACAGTGGATGTCCAGTGAGATTCCTCCAAGCGTGGGGCACACAGGCTCAAGTTCAGCTGGCATTTCTAGTGTGTGTGACTGTGTGACTTAATCATAATGTTGCGTATAGGGTGAAGCCACTACTTAATGCCAACAAGTGTCCATTTTTAAGACTATCACAGTGCCTAGTGGTACTAGAAGCATCTCAGGGCTGCGGGTTCTGTGGGGATGGTGCAGTCATCGTGCACTTTGATGCAGACGTCGTGTGGCTTGGCTCCGAGGGATCGTGTGGCAGGCAGGACGATAAAAATACCTTGCCCTTGTATATAACTTAGGATTTATAAAGTACTTCTGTTCATGTTTGGTTTTCATTTAAAAATCACTGGTCTTGTTTCACGCTTGGGAATGCTGAGTCCTAAACAAGGAGTCAGGAATCAGGAGACGCCCCTCGGTCTTGGCTCCGTGCAGTGGTCTGTGATGGTGACTGGGTCGGTGTTTGCACTGCCTTTTACAACGTTCGCGTGGAGCAGGAGGGATGCCTTACAGCAGCAGTCACTTGGGAGGAACACGGGAGTTGGGAACGTCGGTCTCCTAATGCACTCTGAGCATCTGCCCTGAAGCACAAGTGTCACCCACCTTCACCAATCCAGCCACCTCCCGTGCCACCCTTGTTCAGTGCTATGATGAGGAGCAGTGGGAAGCCACTGGCATAGCTGGGCACAAGGCTGTTCGGTGGGAATCAGTTGTATCCTGCTGTCCGAAGGCCAAGAGAGGGGAGTGGTGGTTGTCACAGCCCATGCCGTGACTCCGTCGTCCTTTTCGATGGGGACTCTCGCTCCCTGGACAGAGGAGACTGTGCGTTTGCTCTTCAGGAAGGCTGGTGTTTGTCCTGGGAAAGGTGACCATCATCCACTGACATGAACAGGCCTCTTCTCAGGAAGAGAAGGGCTCCCAGGCTGTCTGGGCCCCGTCGGTAGCGTCCACAGCAGCATCCAACGCTGGCCTTCCCCCATTAGCACCCGCGTGCTCTAGAGCTCAGAGGTTCAGGAAACCCTGCACTTCCTACCAGCCCCACGAGTGAGCTACAGTAGGGCAGACCTGTCCTCCTTTCTCTAGAGGGTAACTCTGGGCAGATGTCAGTTAAAAAGCCCTTCATGTTGTGGGAAGAAACTTGTCGGACGCCATGAACTCCTCTGCCGAGTTAGCGACCCAGCCACTGCCCAGGCTGTAGTAGATGAATTCGGTTCAGCACAGTTCCTGGGGAGCCCCGCTGCTGGAGGTGGTGGAGGGGTGTATTTCGACGCGTCTCCAGAAATACTTCTACTGTTGAACACCTGAGGCCATTAGAGAAATCCAAATGAAGACAACACCAAGATTCCATCGTACTCCACAAAGAATGATAGTCGCCCAGAAAACAATTAATAGTATACGTTGGTGACGTTGTGGGGGAAAAGGGACCCATCTGCAGTGGTGGTGGGAATGCACACTGGTACAACCACTGTGGACATCAGTAGGGAGAGTCCTCAAAAAAGTGAAAATAAGAATTCCCTTTGACCCAGCTGTTCACCTTCTAGGTCTCCTCCTGAAAGGCATCAGATTACGTGATGTGTGTGTCCTCGGACTCATTGCAGCATGATTCCTAGTAGCTGACCCTCGGAAGTGACCTATGTGTCCATCCTCAGAGAGTGGGTAGAGAGAATGTAGTATTTGTTCATTGTGGAGTATTACTCCGCCATAAAGAAGGAGAAACTTGAATTATTTCTAGGAACATGGATACACCCTGTGACCAGAATGCGAAGTGAAATAAATCAGACACATGGGCTTAAAAGGGACGTGATATCTCTTATGTGAGAAACCCAAAATATAATAAAGAGGGCGGGGCCGTAGCTCAGCCGCACAGTGCCTGCCTGGAAGTGCAAGGTCCTGACTTGGACTCCTGGTGCAAATAAATAAGCAGAATAGAAGATAGCAGAAAAGAAATCTTTTGCAAAAGGGAAGGGGACAGAGAGGTGAAGGGAGTGATGGGAGGAGAAGGGAAGGAAACGAGAATGAAGACGCACTTTGTGCCAGCACCAGCGGCCCGCGAGTGTAATCATCGTGCGGGGGCAATTGTATGGTGAAAAGAACTTTTAAAATAAGACATAGTTTCACAGACGAAACGCCCTTGGAATATAAGCACTTGTCAGAAAATCTTGCTAGGGAGCATCCTGCTTCTGTGAGCTTTTTAAGTTGATTTGAGAGTCTGTAGAGTTTCTTTCCAGACCGACGATGATTCTGAGCTTGAGAGTTCTTTCTCTGTGTTTCCCAGGCATTTCCAGTGAGACCCTTCAAAGCATCTGGGAAAATGGTGGCCCTGTCCTTGAAGATCTGCGTCCGCCACTGCAACGTGGTGAAGACCATGCAGTTTGAACCGTCCACAGCCGTGTACGACGCCTGTCGGGTCATTCGGGAACGGGTCCCCGAGGCCCAGACGGGGCAAGGTGAGTCCCGTGTCTGTCACGTTCTTCACCCTGCGGCATCGGTGGTGGAGGCTGTGAGTGGTGTGCACGTGCCTGCACCTGGCTTCCCTTGTCAACCCCAGGTCTCCAGTCAGTGCTGACCCACCCGTCGTCCTGCCCTTCCCCCTTCCCATCATGCTCTGCGGCTTACGTACCACTCTTGACTGACTGGATCCCATTAACTCAGCAAAGCGCCAGAATTCTACCCTGGCACCTGTGGGCTGTGCATTTCCCAGCCCTGTGTCCCATGTGTGATACCTGCTGGTCACCATCCCGACCTGGGGCAGGTCCTGCATTGCCAGCCCTTCTGAAGGGGCTTTGTGAATTTTATCTCAGATCGTAAAAAAAGGGGGACTTGGTACATGCTTTGTTTTGGATGTGATGAAACACTGACCCCTATTCATCGGTGTCCAAATTAAAGCCATTCATATAGTATAAAATTGATTTTCCACTTCCCTTTGTCTCCTCTACGTTTCCTTCCCTTATTCAAGTGTCTATCTGATTGAGAATAGAAAAATAGGAATCACCTTTAAATTAATAAACCTTCAGTGTGAAAGTGGGTAAAACATGGCTTAAAAATGGAAGCCTAAGAATCCCCTTAACCATCTGGGCATGGTGGCACATACCTGAGCGTACCTCCAGCACTCTGGAGGCTGAGGCAGGAGGATCACCACGAGTTTGAAGCCAGCCTGGACTTCATAGTGAGTTCAAGGCCAGCCTGAACTGCATAGCAAGATGCTGTCTCAAAAACGGGGAAAAAATAAAAAAAACCCACCTCCTCCAAGATTTGGTCGTCTACATTACTGCTGTTACCTTACTTTTCACGTCCTATTTTGTTGTTTGCTTTCAGAGTTTTTACAAAATTTCTTTGGGGCAACTTGCTATAAGCTCTGATGAAGGTGTGAGTAAACCTTTAAAGACCTTGAAGTTAGGGCTGGGGAGATAGCTCAGTGGTCTAAGCTCCTGCCTGGAAAGGGCAAGGACCTTGGTTCGACTCCTCGTACCACATGCTGTGCCCACCCCGCACTGAGCTGGCCACCAAAGCCAGGTGTGGTGACCCACACCTGTCATCCCAGAGCTGGGGAGGCTGAGACGGGAGGATCACTACGAGTCTAAGCTGCGTAGCAAGACCCTGTACCAAATAAATAAAATAAAAATAAAGACCTTGAAGCTTTGCTGAGAAGCAGCAGTGCTCATGTCCTTGCCGAGGTCTCTGATTTTCTTCAAGAATTTTCTACAGAGAACACAAGGTTTAATTTTCTAAGTGTTTTCCTAATGTGTTGAACCTGGGAGGCAGAGGCTTCATGTTACGGGGAACTCCTACCAATCTGCCAATGTCTCCCGCTGGATCTTCTGTGCTGTAAAGCCCCCAGCAGCCCCTGTGTCCAAACAGCCTTGTGCTTAAGAGGTCACTTTCTTAGTTGGGTTTTTTTTCACCCAAGTTTTTTGCCTTTGGTTTTGTGGTGGTAAGAGGGATTCAACCTAGGGCTTCATACTGAGCTATATCCCCAGTTCTTTCTTTTCATTTTGAGGCATCTTACCAATGTGCTGATTTTTTTACCCAGTCTGGGCTTGAACTTTCCATCCTCCTGCCTTAGCCTCCTAGAGTACTGGGATGACCAGGTATGTGCCACCATACCCAGTTTCTTGGCCTGGTCTTTATAGCAAGGGCTAGAGAACAAACGCAAATTCTGTTACCAATCAGTTTGGACTGCCTTGTTCCTGTGGTACCTTAGCATTCAGACCCGGCTCCAACCCCCAGGTCCTCACAAAACAGAACCAGTTTTAGGGGTGTTGCTTCTGCCACTCAGCTCTCCCCTCCCCACCGGCTCTGGTCAGTCGGCCACTTGTGGGCCCATCAGGAAACGTCTTTTTGATGACGGACTCCACAGCCTTGCTGTGGTGGGAGGCTCAGGGCTGGGGAGCCAGAGGTGGCCCTGCCGACACTTTGCCGCCTTTCTTCCTTTGTCTTTGTGTTCCAGCTTCCGACTATGGGCTGTTTCTTTCGGATGAAGATCCCAGGAAAGGGATCTGGCTGGAAGCAGGCAGAACACTGGATTACTACATGCTGCGAAATGGGGTAGGCTGCCGTCTGACCTGATTTCCTCGTGGCTGTGTCCCTAGGCCTTCTATGGAAATGGCGTCATCCCAATATTTTGATTCAAGGGCATTTTATCCGGAGTTCCCTTGTAAAGTATTGTCCAGTGGTGAGAAAATGTCAGCTATCCAAATTCTTCAGATTGATTCCATTTGGGGTATTTTAGGCAGCTTCTCCATCCACACCATGTTGGACAAGGAACTCAAGAGACAAGACGCAGGTATCTTCTGTGAGGATGTAAGTGTGTTTCTGCCAGAAAGCCAGACAAGAGAGAGAGGAGAAAATGGGAGATAATTCTAAAGAAAGTCTGAGGCCAGATTTCAATTAACATTTTGTTTTTGAAGAGAAATTTCAAATAATGGGTGTGATTTTAATAACTACTAGTAATAATAACAACATTTAAAACAGCTGTTAATGAATGTGAGGAGAAATGCTGAGCTCACCATTCCATCCGGCCTATCTTCCACGACACAGGCCCTTTTTGAGTGAGTCGGGTCTATCAGATTAACGAGTGTTCTACAGAGCAAGAATGAAATAGTTGGGTTCCCTCCATAGTTCTGCTTTTAAGAAGTATAATAAAAAATTTTTTAAAAAGAGGCCTCTGATTTAAAAAGTAACTTCCAAACTGAACGCCCCCGTGCAGTCCTGCTCGTGCCTCGCTGCAGTAGCAGGAGTACCGCCCGCACGGTGCTGCGTTCCCAGCCGGAAGGACGCTGGCTCGGCGGAGGCGTTTCCATCCATACATTTACGCACGGCACATACATGTGGTGAACGCATGGGTGGTAAATGTTACAGCCCAATTGCACTGTCCATGTGTCGGTAGTAAAATGCTCATGGCGGAATACAGACACTTGGATGCTGTCCTCTGAGAAGGCAGGCGGCCTTGGCCTCTCCCGTGCTCCCTAGCGCAGCCTTTCCCAGCCTGGGTGTCTCCTGCTGTCACTGTTTCATGCAGGGTAATTTTCGGTCATGAAGCTGCTTCTGGGCTTGGGATTTCACTTCGATTTTAGAGAAATCTTTATCAAAGCAATTATTGAGGACTGGAAATTCTGTATTATAGAAGCTTCTGTAATAATGAAAGATTACTGCTTCCTAAGAAAAATTTTCAAAGAAATTTTGAAAATATGAAGAAGTCAGCACCTGCTCAGAACTTTCCTTTCTCCTCCTCTTGCTCCTCCTCTTCCTGCTTCCCTTCCTCCGTCTTCTCCGCCTTTTCCTTCTTCTTCCTCTAGAAAAATGCTCAGATTTGTTACCTGTTTTCCCATGCATGTGAAATCCATGTACGGTTTGCATTCTAGGACATTTTGGAATACAAAAAGAAACAGAGGCCTCAGAAGATCCGGATGCTGGATGGCTCTGTGAAGACGGTGATGGTGGACGACTCCAAGACCGTGGGAGAGCTCCTCGTGACCATCTGCAGCAGGATAGGTGAGTGGCCACAGCCCCAGTGCCCCCCCCGCCCCAGGGACCCCCGCCCCAGTGCCGTGTTTTGTGTAACATCCCTCCCCCCTTTTTTTTTTTCCCCCAGAGAATGGCTGGGGGTAGGGGTATTGGGACTAAAACTCAGCACCTTGCACTTGGCAGGCTGTGCTGCTGAGTTGATCTCTGGCCCTTCTGTCTTCTTTTTGTCCACCCTCATCTGGTGTCTGCCAAGTTTTGTTCTTCCCAGTCCAAAGAGAACACATCCATTGTCCTGACTTGACAGCCTACTCGTAGCATTGTAAACACGAGAACTTATCACTGGGTCACCGTGAAAGCTTGTGTTTCTCTTTCAGAAAACATGTATTTTCAATAGAGAGGAATTCTTAAAATTTTGTGTTATTCACCCCCGTCCCCCGTGGATGTCCCGAGTCTCCCTGATTATCGTGGTGACAGCCTGTGTGGCTGACTGGTGGGCAGATTTTCTTCTCGTGGCTTCTGTTGGTCTCCTCAGAGGGCAGCAGTGCCTTCTCCTCACATGAAGGACTTTACATGCTTGGGAAGAGCAGGCCACCCCGTCTTGGTGGTTCTTCGTGCCATGGGAGCTGAGTTCTGTCCTCTCACCTCCCCGCGCTGCATCTGCTTTGCTCCCGTTCCTCAAGATGCAGGTCTTCTGGGCAGCCTGAGTAGATGATCTCGGGCCTGAGCCCGGGGCTAGTTGTTCCACTGAAGTACATGGCAGGTGAGCACAGAACAGACCTGCGATAAAAGGCTCTGGGTAAGAGGACGGGTGAGGTTAACGTTACGCAGCATCTGTAATGTTTGCACTTCAGCTCTGACGAGTAGGGTAGAAGAACATGCGCCATGCGGGCCCGACAGTGTTGGATTATTTCTGTTGCCGCCTTTAAACTGGCCTTCAGTTGATGAGGCTTAGGACTTAGGCTACAGAATGTGTAAGCCCTCTTGTCTTGTGCACAGCCCAGAGCAATTTAACATGTGGGAAAGCAGGTAAGAAAACTTAAGCCCATGCTTTCCAAATTGAAAGGGCAGTGGTTAGAGCATGTGTTTTCAGGTCAGGAAGACTTTTTTCTTTTAAATTTTATTTATTTATTTATTTGTGTGTGTGTGTGTGTGTGTGTGTGTGTGTGTGTGGCCAGCTCAGCCCACCAGGGGGCAGGGCTGGCTGGCATGTGGTGCTGGGGGATTGAACCGCAGTCCCTGTGCTTTGCTAAGCTTGTTCTAAGTAGGTGCTTTAGACCACTGAGCCATCTCACCAGCCCCAAGACTTTTTTCTTTTTTGATGTTTTTTGTGTTTGTTTGGTTTCTTCCTTTTTTTTATTTTTTATTTTAGGGAAGAGTCTACAGGGTGTTCAGGGTCTCACTACTAGATCGGACTTGTACTGATCCGCCTGTTTACAACCTTCCAAGAGCTGGGATTACGGGCGCATGCCACCATTCCCAGTCTCAGTTGCAGCCTCAGCATGCCCCCGGGGGCAGGCCCGGCACGGCAGGCCCAGGGATGGAACTCCAGGCCCCTGTGCCTGCTTGCAGGTGCTTTAATCCACTCAGCTATTTGGCTGGCCCTCAGTACGACTTTGGCTATGAATTAAGAACGTTTTCAGAGCCGAAGTAGCCTGAAATCTCATTGGTGACTTAGGACATGCTATTCATCCCTAAGCAGTTTGGTCCTAAGTGTTGGGTAACAGGTTCTTTTTTAAAAAAAAAATTTAATTAGTAGAGACAGGGAAGTGGCATTTTGAAGGAGCTTGCCTTCTGTGAGTGTCAGAGCGACGTGACACGTGGCCTCGCTTCCCACACCAAGAAGGCTGCTTTGTGACCTTGCCCAGCTCCCATGCGGTACAGTACCTGGGCCCTCAGTGCAAGGAGGTGACAGCAGCCTAAGCCAGTAGCATTACACTCTCATTTCTGGTTTTAGGAATAACGAATTATGAAGAATACTCTTTAATCCAAGAAACTATCGAAGAAAAGAAGGAGGAAGGAACGGGCACACTCAAGAAAGACAGGACGTTGTTGCGAGATGAGAGGAAGATGGAGAAGCTGAAGGCCAAGCTCCACACGGACGATGACCGTGAGCGCTCGGGGAGGGCGCGCAGCCCGGGCTCGGCCCCTGCTCGCCACCCTCATGACCCAGGGTGGTGTTTTGGGTTATTTTTAAGTCTGTACATGTTTCAGTTTATGTGACTAGAAGCTGAAAAACTTCTAGAGAAATAAAAAAATCTTGGTAATATCATTTCCCTAAAAAAAAAAAAAATTCCTTTCATATCACACATATAAATTATGTTCATGTTTTCTCCATTGTGACTACAAATTACTTAATAGTTTGTACTAGCGAAGGTTCAGACAGGGTTGGGTACCAAGCTGTTTTAGCTATTTATGTCTCTTCTCCATCTCTTCTATTTTTTTCCCCTTGAGATGTGTGTATGTGAAGAAACCAGACTGTTGCTTGCGTAGTGTGTCCTGCACTGTGGACCCTGGTGACAGCACACCCCTGTGTCGTTGTGACACGGCCTTCTGTCCCCTTTAAGTCTTCATGTGTGGAAGTAGCATAGGAGTGTGTGTGTGTGTGGGTGTGTGTGTAGTGAAGACGCCTTCTTCAGGAGAGTTGTGCGCTTCTGTCCAGAAGCTGGTTCTCGTCGGTCCTAGTGGGCAGAGGTTTGTGGCCATGGGTGACCACTGCCTCTGTCTGCCAGAGGTTACAGTCACGGATAAGCTTCTATCACAGGGAAGCCACCTGGCACAGCTGCACAGTAGCGTGTGGACAAGAACACAGTCCGTAGGTCCCCCCTGGCCAGGCCACATGCACCTGGCCGCCCCTTCTCCCCAGCCCGCTCGGGCCTCCACCTCCTGCTCCTGCGCTGCGCTGGGATGACATCATCACTGTCATTGTTTATTGATCTTTGGCAGACCTGACATTTCCTCTGACTTTCTCTAGTCCCTTTTCTTTCTGCCTCATTAGATTCCCGGTTACACACTTCTTTCCAAGAGACCTGAGTAGATAGACCCCAAGGTTTTGTTAACGTGTGCACAGGGCTGTCCCAGACACTGGGAGAGAAGGGCTGTGAGCCGCATTCTCTATACAGAAGCCGCTTAGAACACCGGGAGGTGGGTCGTAAATGCTCACGCGCAGAGAGAGAGAGAGAGCGAGCGTGCGCGCGTGTGGCCCAGAGGGGAGTGGAGAAGAGTGCTCCTCAAAGTGTGCAAGAAGTGATGGACGTCTGGGTTCCTGGAGGTCAGGGTGGGATTCTTGGAGTGAGTGATCCCACTGGCCCAGGGTGAGCAGCCGGCTGCCCCTCCACCCTTCCGCCCCCGCCTTCACTCTCCCCGACTTTCATTTTCTCCCCCCTTTCCGCTTGGGTCAGAGGTGACCTGTTATGTTCACTGTGTACCGATCATTTCACTCGATGAAGCTCAAGTGTCTCCTGTTGATTATAAGGAAAATGCCACTTCGGCTTCTTACCACAGAGTGCGGAATTCCCTGTGCTCGCCTTCTGGGGTATTTTATCAGCTCACTGTGTGGATCAGCTAACGTTAGGAATGGCTGGGGATTCTGTCCTTCCTTTACCTTTCTGTTGGTCATATGGTAGATGAGATACTATTTTTCAAAGTGAAAAAGCACCGCTTTCATGTAAAAGCATCTCTGCCTGTCAGCATCAGAGAAATCCGCCAGTGTGTCACTCTGCTGTCTTGGTAAACCCCTTTCAATTAGCAGGAGAAGCAAACACAGTTCTCTCCCGCATCTTGTGTTGCAGTAAATTGGCTGGATCACAGCCGAACGTTCCGAGAACAAGGAGTAGATGAAAGCGAGACGTTACTGCTCAGGCGGAAGTTCTTCTACTCCGATCAGAACGTGGACTCCAGAGACCCTGTGCAGCTGAACCTGCTTTATGTCCAGGTACAGCCTTCGGCTCTCAGACCCTGCGGCCGGGGAGCGTGCGGGAGCCCCCAGCTGTGCGTCCAGGGAGCAGCCGCCTGGCTCTGTCCTGCGCCCTATTCCCAGCAGCCCCGTCTGGAGGCGCGTCCCCAGGTTGCTCCTGTCTTGTGGCCGGACCAGTCGGCCTTGGACAAGGACCACTGGCCATCCCACGGGCGCCTTTCTGGGAGTCTCTCTGCCTCCCCAAGTTGGGACTTGGAGCCGGCACTGCGCTTCTCTTCCTGCTTTTGAAGGACGGCTGTATCTGTTTAAGTGTGTCGCTATTGCAAAGACCGTATAGCTTTGTTAGCTGGCACCTTAGGATACCGTGCAGTAGCAGTAAAAAATCATTACTTCCCATCAGCTGAAAGTTATCTTCACATAGCCTTTTATGTCTGTACCACTAACTAATCGTTTTAAGTTCAAACAAGGATTTTAACACACATCTGAGTTGCAGTTTCCCAGTATGCTAGATGTGGGCAGATCACTGAAGGGCCCCTCAGGTTGCTTTTGGCTCGAACAAACATCTGTGTTTCTCTCATGTTCTCCCTCGTGCACTGCCTTGCCCCCTGCGCTCCATCTGCACACTGAGATAGAAATAATAGCAGTTGCCAAGTGCAGCCCGCCTGGTGCCTGCATTTGCTAGTAACTAAGTCGTGTGTTTAACTCTGATGATCCCCTCGCGTGTGACGTCCTTGTTTGTGTCCTTTGTATTTCCGTGGCAGAGCCCGCTAGTTGCCACGCAGACCTAATGGCTCTGAAGGTCTCACATGTTGGCTGTTTGGCCTTCTCCAGGGGATGTTTGCTGGCTCCCGAGTCAGCAGGTGGAAGAAACGGAACGGAGTGAAGCTGGAAGGAAAGGGCAGGGCAGGCAGGGCAGGGAGCCAAGGAGCTTAAGGGCCAGGGCCGTGGCTGTGAGCACCTGTGCGTGGTTTGGGGCTCAGTCAGAGAAAGGGGTGACAGCAAGGAGAGGGCTAAGTGGCAGTGGGACCAGGGGCCCCAAAACGGAAGTCATTCGGACACAGCGAAGGCGGTAGGAGTGGGCGTTGCTCGACCTTGCCTAGATATCTCGGGTCTAGGATTCTCTTCTCTGTGCGAATATCCATCTCTGTCTCTCTGCTTATAATACTTTAGTCTTGGGCGTGGGAGGTAGCTCAGCAGTCTGAGCGCCCGCCTGGCAAGCGCAAGGACCCGGGTTCGATCCCCAGTACCACATGCTGTGCTGGCCACCGGAACCAGGTGGGATGGTGCATGCCTGTAATCCCAGCCCTGGGGAGGCTGAGGTAGGAAGATCACTGCAAATCTGAACTGCTTAGCAAGACCTGGTACCAAATAAATAAATTTTAAAAATAATAATAATACACTAGGCTTTACTTGGCAATGGGGATTGGGGTGATTTTACTTTTTTTTTTCTGTTAACTTTATGCCTTAGGTACATAAAAAGTGAACCATTTCTGTGTCAGTTTGTATCAGTGTGGTCATTTCAGAGATTTTTCCTTCCCTCTTTATTCTTTGTGATTGCATCTATCTCCCTAGATTATCAGCACTCTCTCTTTTGGGATACCAAACCCCTTGAGGGTGCTCCAGGCCTGGGCCATACATATGACCCTATCTTGGAGAGAGGGGAGAGGGAGAGAGAGGCAGAGGCAGAGACAGAGAGAGATACCCCACAATCTGTGTACCCCCCACCTGCTCTCAATTTTGGAGTTCCTGTGCTGGGGCAGGGCCGTGTCTCAGGAGAGGCCTTGTCCCCCCAGTCCTCTGAGGCTGTTCTTGCCCGTGTGTTTCAGGCCCGGGATGACATCTTGAATGGTTCCCACCCGGTGTCCTTTGAGAAAGCCTGCGAGTTTGGCGGGTTTCAAGCCCAGATACAGTTTGGACCTCATGTGGAGCATAAGCACAAGCCCGGATTCTTAGAGTAAGTGGCCTCTTATTTTTCTCTCTTCTCTCCTGTCCTTTTCATCTGTATTTTGGTTGTTGTCCCTTTGTGTTTGCAGGGCCAGAGGTGGAACACAAGGCCACACGCATGCCCTGGCCTATTTCTGCGCAAGGTTCCTAAGTACACACGTTGACTACAGTGTGCTGTGCGACCGTTGGCTTTCATTCAGCTGAGGGTGTGACCACATTTGTGTAGTAGGAGGCCTGGAGAGTTATGGTTGGGGTGACTGCCAGGGGAGTCTCTGGAAGCAGCTTCTGAGTTCTGGCAGCGGGGGTTTTCTGTCTCCCAGAGCATCCGTGATACCCCATGAGCTGTGATCTGACCCGTGCTGAGTGTGTGTGGACTGGAGGGGCTCACTTTGCATGGCTTCTGCACCCTGCGCCCACTACCACCTTGTCCCCTCGTGCTGTGACACTTCCGATCACCTTTGGCAGGTTCTGTGTTTGGTTTCATTTCGTACGGCGTCCGGGGTCCAGCCCAGCACCTTGCACGCGTTGCACATTGTTGGCCAGCACTCTGCCACCTCCAGCCCATTGTCAGGCTCAGTTTCTTGAGGTTCTTGTATCAGAGCAGCGTAGTGTGGGAGGGGCTTATAGTCTTTGTCACAATCTTATGTATTCTCTCTTGCTTTGAAGTGTGACGTGCAAGTGCAATCCTGGCTCTGTTTTCTTATTCCATTTTGTCTATGGCTTCATTTTATAAAACAATGGGGATGTGTTTTCCTGGCTATAGACCCTCGGTGTCAGGAGAGCTGACCCTCGAGGTCCCTCAGGGTCACACAGCCCATGGCTGCAAGATTGAGTTTCCTGCAAATTCTCAGCCACTTGTAGGCTGCTAGTATGGAGCAACTTTCTAAGTTGGTTTTCTCCTCTGTTTTGAGCTGGACTTTTACAGGGGTATTACAGTATTATGTGTACTTGCTCTGATGATATTCCTTTTCTTTGTTTTTTTTTTTTTTTTTTCCAGAACCGGGGATTGAACTCAGGCCCTTGTGCTTGCCAGGGAAGCACTTATTCCATTGAGCCATCTCCCTGGCCCGATATTCCTTTTCTTATGTGTTCTTTTCCTCATGGTTGCCACTTAGTATGGATGAAAGAAAGGGAGGGTGGGTAGAAGGAAGACCAGTCTCACCATGGACAGTGTCACACTGTTGCCTGGAGTACAACGTGCAAGGATTGGAAGTGGGAACCTAATAGGAATGCTGCTGAGAGGGATAAGACACGGGTGTTTCCGGAGGCCACATCCAGCATAAGCTAAGCCCAGCCTTCTGTGAAGACGGATGGAGGGGAAAGGATCGGGCCGAGGCTTATTTGACCCTTGAACCCACTTTTACATTGGTGGAAAATACTGAGAACCAAGTTGTAGGGCTCTGTAACAAGAAAACCCAACTTTTCTCCTAATGATGGACAATGCCTGGCAAACATGCTGTGTGGTCTAAACTGAGGATGTTAAAAAAAAAACCCAAAACCTTTACCTGTGAGTTAGTGACCTGGGAAGCTTTTCATGGTGATGCTGTGTTCTGCAGTACTCTCCCAGTGACCCTGCCTGCCAAGCAGCATTGAGCGGGTCCCGCCACTTGCTGTGTTCCGTGTCCTCACCGAAGGCACATGGCCAGGCATCTTCTTGGGGCCCGTGTCTGACACCTGGTCTGGCTCCCTTCCGCGGGAGCTGCGGGACCTTACCTTTCTGTCCATCGCCCTGCAGGCTCCTCCCTGTGGTGTGTGCATGCGCTCTTTCAGTAGCTTCCACCTCCCACACTGGACCCTCTGAGCTGGCTCCTCAGGCACTGTACATCCACTCCCATAACCATGAGGGTTATGACTGCAGAAACTGATACATAGGCGCTCAGGACTCGTTAGGCGTTGCAGGAAGCTACCTTTTGCCTTTGTTTCTAAAGTGACCGAGGAAGAATGGGAGAAAATAGAAAAGCTTTTCCAAGCCCAAAACTCAGAATTAAATAGTTCCATAGTTTTAGGTTTTTATAACTGTAACTGCATGTAGCCTGGTGAGGGAAAGCTAAGCTTGTGACCGCAGAGAGCAGGATCTTATGTGACAGATGGGAGAAGCAGCGTGGCAGCTTGGTCACAGTCACTCCACAGCTTTTCCCTGCAGGCTGCTGACTCCCGGGGCCAAGGTAGCCTGCCCTCAGAGGCTTTTCTCTGTCCTGGGTAGAGCTGCCCCTGTCCCTGGCCTGCCCACCAGTGCCAAGTTTAGAAAGGTCCTTAAACATGTGATCATGACATTCTTGGATCTCTTTTCTGTTGTCATCAGCTGTACCAACCAAATCATGGCATGTGTCACAGTGCTGCTGATTGAGTCTTTAGAGATTACAAGTTAATCTCAGTGTTCATACTGGTCTTAAGAGTGTCCATTGCCATTTATGGTCCTGTTCTACGCCAAGTACTCAGAGTCCTGTAGGAACGTTCTTCTCTTAATAAGCTGAAAGACGGAAGTGAAGTGGTTGTACCACACCAGGTTTCTTCCTTAGGATTAGAAGGTGAAGGCTGTGCCTCCGGCGGGCTGTATGGCCTTTCTTTACTCGAATTCTAGATTAAAATAAATTCATTGTGCCTGGTGGCAGCTCTTTATTTAGGACTTGGATTTACCTTTTAATGAGACCCACTGGAGTCTAGAGATGGAGCCTTGCTATCGAATGTAGAGTCTTAATTGTGACTGTTCGCGTTGGTTCTGTACAGGTGGAACTTCCCATGGAGCTGAATCCGCTCTTAATTAAAATAAACCTCTCAGGCTGCAGTACCCTGTTTGTAAGTTGGCGGGCAGAGCCTTTTTTTTTTTTTTTTTTTTTTCTTCTGGCCTAGACTTTTTGTGGACACTGGCAGGGCTCTGTTCTGCAGCCTCTGCCTTTTCCCACTTAGCCCTTATCCCACTGTTCCTGAACACTCCAGAGTTGAAAAGAGAAAGAGACAGAAGCCAGATGAGAGGAGCTCGGCCCTGAGCCAGATGAAGCATGGAATCGTGTCCTCATATGTAAACGCAGTAGATCGGGGTGTGTTTAATAAGTCCTTTTCTTTCAGGTTTTTTTTTTTTTTTTTTTTTTGCGGAACCAGGGATTGAACTCAGATCCTTGCGTTTGCCAGTCAAGTGCTTATCCTACTGAGCCATCTCCCCAGCCCCTTCTTTCAGGGTTTGAAAAGCTTCTTCAGTATTTCTGTGTGGCGGCAGTGCAGTAGGGATGTTTTTGTGGCGTTCCCTTTCAGCCTGGTCCAGGCTCTTCAGTGATTTCTCAACTCAGCAGCATCACAGGGAAAGCACTCACTTAGAAAAGTGGCCATTAGAAGCAAAGGACTGAGGTTTGCAGGGTCTAGGAACTGTTACTTGATATGCTGGTCTGCTCTACGGAGGCGCCTGCTCTTACAGAGGGGAGCGTAGACACGGGGTGCACAGCCACACCCACTGTTGTCAGCCTCTGGGAGCCAGAAGAAAGCCAGGTCTCCCACTTCGTGTCAGTGCGCTTTGTCTGTAGCACAGTTGTCTTGGATGTCCTGAAAGAGACTCAGAGAGAGAGATTTTATTAGCACATGAAATAAATACAGCAGATAATCTAGTAATTGGAAAATGACTAGGCAGAAGGCCTGTTTCCAGTGTGAAACAGGACCTCTGCGCTCGGAAACGACATCGAGCAAAGCTGCTACGTGGCCCCTTTAGCTCCCCGGGGACTTGGGTGTGTGCTTCTGTGCCGGGTGCATGTATGACACAGATGTCGCATACTGACTCTTTCCTGTTTTTGAATTCACAATCCACGTAGCAAATAAGCATGCGGCATGGTTAGTTAAAGCTGAAGATACCATATTAGATGTGACACTAAATGGAGACTTTAAGACAAAGCGTAAGTACAAGTGAAGCCCATTATACAGGTGGAGGAACTAATTGGCCAGAATGGTAAACTAATTGTGAGCCCATAATTGAATTTCACATTGACTTAAATGTATGGAAAAGAAAAATTAGAAATCCTTCTTTAAAAAAAAAAAAAAACTTACTTATTTATTCATTTGGTACAGGATCTCGCTATGCAACTCAGACTTGTGGCAATCCTCCTGTTTCAGCCTCCCCAGCACCAGGATTATAGGCATGCGCCATCACGCCCAGTTTCGGTGGCCAGCACAGCACACCCAGGATTCCAGGGCTGGCATGGCATACACTACAGGGGATCAAACTCGGGTCCTTACCCTTGTCAGGCAAGCATTTAGATCGCTGAGCTATCTCCGTAGCCCAAGAAAAGCTTTTGATGAGCAATTTTAGTGTTGTAGTTTCACAGACACAGCACAGAGAGTGATTAGTATAACAAGAGTACAATAGAATAAAGAAAAACTTTAAGAGAAAGAAATGAAGTAGAAAGCTTAGGCAGAATTAATAAAGCAAAAGGTGGTTGGAAAAAATTATGAACTAATGTAAAGCTTGGATAAGTTTAATCAAGAGGAAAAGACATGTTATTAATAATGACAATGGATCAAATCTAGTTTTTTATCAAAACTAGGTAAAAATATTTTCAAAACAATGTGATAAAAACTTGAAGCAAAAAATAGAGAATTTAAGCAGAATTATGAGACTAGAATCATAAAGCTCATTACCTTTATTTGAAATCAGCAAAAGTGTAATTTGAAAACTGAATACAATCTTACTTTTTTCCATAATTTTATTGAGAAACAAATAGCAGTGAGACAGTTTCAAATCAAACTGGTAGAACAGTTCCAACAATTAACACATTGCATACTGTCTTCCTAGTGGTTATTTGTTGTACAAGATATCCTATTTACAAACACTATTAGAACAAATCCCTCTATTTGAGTACAATCTTATAAAGTGTTTTACCTGAATTTAAATGTCTTCTCCACATAGTTAAAATATTCACAGAGTCCCGCGTGCATATGGTTATGTGTTCATGGTATTGTAACTAGAGCTTCTCCCAGGCTTGATATGATCAAATGTGCAATGTGAGTTTAAGCCCGGGTGGTACACAG